ACCGTACCATCTAGCACCGACTGAGATGAAAGGAGATGATGAGTCAGTTACAGGAGTTATTGAACAAGGATTTCATCCGACCGAGCACTTCACCCTAGGGTGCTCTGGTTCTGTTCGTGAAAAAGAAAGATAGTTACATCCAAATGTGTATCGATTATCGAGAGTTGAATAGAGTAACCATCACATATATCACTAGAATTGGCACTTGTTACTGAACTCCGAAAATGGAAACATGAGGCTTTGAAGCCTGAACACATGAAGTCGGAGCACATGGTTGGTTATCCGATTCTTTATTTGAAGACAATAGCGGATTAAAAGTCTTTAAGACCTGAATCTAGGTTCCGAGACTTGGTGGATTACGAGATGTCATTTTGACAAAATGATTATGGGTCAGGGGATCCATGATCACCCATTTTGAGTCACCAAAAATGTTCAACCAGTTCGACACGGCAAACGGTACAATTTTAGTTGCTAATAAGATCTATAGAGATTGCACATTAGTGTTATCTTACTACAAGTTCTAAGTAGATTTGATCCCAATGGATATACAGGGCTTCAACATCGTGATAGGGATGGATTGGTTGGCAAAGAATCGAGCTGATATAATTTGTTCACGGAGGATGATACGGATTCCGATCGACGACGGGGATAGAGCTTGAATTCTTCAATCCACTGATTTGTTCCTTCATATACCTCCCCACCAATAGATAGAGACAAATGGGAATAATCGAACCACGTCTACAAAATGCCAGTACCATGCAGCAGTGTTAGCTCTCATATTTCATTTAATATAAAAGTATGAAAAAGTATTATTGCAAGTGTTGACAAAAGGGTTCTACCACAGAAGACCACAGAGGACCAACAACAGAAGATATACAAAAGCGTACAAGTAAAGATTGACAGAACCTCTGTTGTCTCTCACAGAGGTTCTGGAAAAAGGTCATCTGTTATCAAGAGCTTACAAGTCATATCCAGCAGAGCCTTTGGGATGTCTCACAGAGGGTCTGCAATTTATCTTCTATGAAGAACCACTTCTCACTACTTTACTTAGGTTTGTAAGCTGCACGTGCTTCTTACGTGACTATGTTTGTAATCTACTTTATTTGAACGGCTTAGATCATTTCACTTGTCTAGGTCATGTCAGAAAAGCCGTTAGGAACTAGTATAAATAGCAGCTTAGGCCTTTGTAATTCTGTGTGCTTCCGTATTGTAATTGTCAATATTTTCAATAGAATTGAAAATCATTTGAAGCTTTTCTTTCGTGCTCTTCATTCTTCATCTGTGTGTTCTTGGTTGATTTCTTACTCTGTTTGTTCATATATCGTTTCCGCTGCACTGTTATTGTCTAAAAGATCATCCAGAGTATTTGGTTAATATCATAAGCTGAATCTAAAGGTCCTAACAAGCAGTTTCAAAGCCAACGTGATGCTCCTTGGTCAGATAACCAAGATATTTCTTGTACATATACGGAGAATGATGGGTGGGTGACATTAAGGTAATTTCCATGCTTACGGCTCGTCGATATTAAACGAAGGGGTGTTCTTCTTTCTTAGCATATGTCATAGATTCGGGAAAAGAGACGAAATAAATAGTAAAGGATGTACCAATCGTACGTGCGTACCCCGATGTGTTTCCTGATGATCTACCTGGGTTGCCACTAGACCAACAGGTAGATTTACGAATTGACTTGATACGCGATGCCGCCCCAATAGCTAAGACACCAAACCATCTAGCACTGGCTAAGATGAAGGAGATGATGAGTTAGTTGTAGAAGTTATAGAACAAGGGTTTCATCTGACCGAGCACTTCAACCTGGGGTGCTCCAGTCCTGTTTGTGAAAAAGAAAGATGGTTTCTTCCGAATGTGTATTGATTATCGGGAGCTGAATAAGGTAACCATAAAAAATAAATACCCTTAATTCATAAATTTTCGCTCGGACCTCCGTTTTCGATGAGGTTTTTGCCTACGCTTTCGTAACAAAATAATCTATAACTTCCAATAAAAATATTCTAGAAAAAGCCTCCCAATAAAAGCAGTTTTACATATTTGTATATGTTATGTTTTCCTTTGCAATTTTATCGTTTTTGATTTTGAGCCCGGAATCCCGTAAAAAATTCTGACACCTCCAAAAACTCCTAATATGTCCAAAACTTAGTTCCAAATCCTAACGTCATATAAAACACCTCCCGTTTGAGTGTTGTGCGCCCTTTACCGAAATAACAACGTAATTTGTAAAACTTGCATAAAATGCAATCTACATGACTTTTTCCACTTTCATCACTTCTAACACTTCATATTAACTTATTCAAAGTTGTTCCAACCTTTACATCACCATTTAGATCATCCATTCAAGTATTAGGTAGATTTTTCCCATTTAGGCACTATAGTTACTTACCCAAATTTCATTTAGGCAATGTACTTTGTATTTTGAACCCTCACATCATCTAATTATGTCATTTGTGAGGTGTTAGCACCAATTTACCTCCTACATCTCATTCCAACTGTGGGTTCTACTTATAGCTCACTAGTACACAGTATTTTAGCAAATTCTCTTTTTATACAATCAACACATAAAGCATGTTTTAACATATAATACATATTTAGAATCACTAGTTAAGCATATTAAGGAGGGTGGATGTTACAAATACCTCATCCTTTTGAAGATTCCGTCCTCGGAATCATTGTTACTCGAAATATTTTCTCCGACATTGGGGTTCGTCGGCATGTGGCTTGCCTCATCGTGATCCGACATCGTTTTGGAAATGTATAATATTTATATCAATTATAATTCTAAACCCAGGTCCCCTACCCATCTAGGTCTCTCCTATTGGTCTATATCCTATATAATCATCACTTAGTTACTATACGATGTCAGCGCCTAGTTTAAGTCTAGATACCACTTAATGATACCTAGTTCACTTAAACTACTTCTCTCATACCATAGTTGTAACCACGGTGTTACAATAAGTTGTTTTTAGTGTTTTGACATATTTTATTTCTACATGTGAAATGACCAAAAAGACCTTCTTTTGTATTCCAATCAATTAACATACGTAGCATAATTGAAACCGGAAAATTGACTCAAATGACCATACTCCACAACCAAATTAACCTATTAACCATTTCTCTCCCAATTTTACCCAAAAGTATTATGGACCCACTAAACGACAAAAAAAAAAAAATCAACGTTTTTGGGCCAGGTCTGTAACCACCGGTCTACAACTGTTACAGATATGGCCTAAAACTATTTTCCTATGAAGGTGGACACTTGTGTGGACATTTACGGATCTGGCATTACGAATTAAAGGAAAATGGGTTTTGGGCTGTGGTTATGGACCTGGACCAAAAACTCTAAAACTTTGTCGTTTAGTGGGTCTGCAATAATTGCGGACCTGGGTATTGCGGACTAGTGATTTCTAGGTAAAGTCCGGAGAAAAATGATTAGGAGGTCAATTTGGTTGTAGAACAGGGTCATTTGGGTCAATTTCCTATTGAAACCATTTTTCTCGTCTCCACTGTTCATCTCCTATACCGCAGATTCATTTTTCTTATTCTGCCACCGGCGATGGCCCAAGTCGGTGACCGACCATTCCTCTCATCTCCACGATTTCGATTTCATTCTCTTATTACGCTAGGGTTTCTCGCATCATATGATTTCGATTTCTGTAGGTCGATTTCAATTTTCATTTTGATTTTAATTTTGATTTCAATTTTTGTGGGTGAAGGTCGATTTCTTGTACTTGAAGGTCGATTTTGATTTCTGTAGGTGAAGGTCGATTTCTGTGTTCGATTTCTATTTATTGTATTGAAGGTCGATTTTGATTTTCTATAGGTGAAGGTCGTAAACTTTGTTCGTGCGGAAGAAGGAACTGGTTTAGGGTTAACAAGGTAAATTGGTTTCCAAAGCTAATAAGTTGAATCTGATAAGTTGGAATTGAGTAACTTATCAAAAACTCCTTATTACCGGTTTGACACCGATATTAGCCTTTTTTTTTTCTTTTTGCCAATCCAAACACTAAAATTGCTTATTACCGGTATCACACCAGAATAAGTCAATAAATAGTTTAAATACGCAATCCAAAACACCCCCTAAATCTTGATAGCAAGTGGACAATAGAACATCAATATTATTTTTTAAGAAAATTTAAAGTAAACGGAGTCTTTGAGCTTTAATAAATATTTAAGGATATGAGGTAAATAAATGATTTATAATATAGTAAAAAGGGATCGATTTGGTTGAAAACCATATTTTTATTACCAACCAGGAAATCACCAAGAGCAAACAACTTATTCAGAATATTATTATGAATGTTGTAAAAAATATATATCTGTTATTCATGAAAATATAGACATGGAGGTGACGCGCTCGCAGTGGTTCATCAATTCGCAATGGAAATGAGGTTCTCAACCAAATTTTATTATGGTAAAGACAAATAATATTCAATGAGAATATATGTATCCAGTTTTTTCTTTGGCATACAGATCTATAAGAAAAGCAGTTTCAAAAAAAAATGTTGATCTAAATCACGAACTAAAAGAATTACCCGATGCTTATTTTTTCGGTTCAACAAATGAATACCTCGAAATCGCAAGAACTCCTAAGGACGTCAACGAACATTCAAGATTACAATTTGCATTTCATATTTGTTATACGATGCTATTTGTATGCCTTTGAAGCATATACGATTCATATCTAACACCTTTGATTTATAGCCTGTTCTTTTTTTCTTTTAGAAAAGACAAGGCCAAATATCAATATCAAAAATAAAGACAGTGAATGGTAGATTTGAAGTTTAGTCCCATTAAGATTAAAATTAAATAATCAATACATGTTATCCTATGAGAACATCAAAACCAATTTCACAAAATTGTAAAGGACAAATCACATCAAGATGAAACAGTACTTTATTTAGGTTTTCCTATTTTAAGAAACCTACTTTCAAAGAAGTTATCTTTTTGATATTATTTCCACACTCGTTAGCATTAACATCAAAAGTCTCCTATTTGTTTTTCCAAGGGGTTCTCTCAAGGCCTCCTTTGATGCAAAAGCTATGCAATTTTGTTCATACATAAAACTCATGCTATACAAAAGAATCTTGATAGATACAACAAAAAGATGTCTGTATGTATATATGTATGTATGTATGTATGTATGTATACTTTGATTGAAGCAATCAGTCAATCATACAATAACCCCATTCCTCTCTTTTTCCTTCATCAAGAAATTGCATGCTAGCAAAGCTGCCCCAACTGCAGGTTCCACCTGCAACAACACACAAATGAACTCACAGCAGATTTCTTTCTTTTTCTCAAATGAACTGAATAGAGCAAATTAGATGGGCCCACGCAAAAGAGTGTATGTTATAACGACATGATGCCCATGGGGATCTACACCTGGTACAAGCATAAGTTTTCTTAAATCCAACACTTTCCGTTTCAGACTGCAGCTTAAGCAATTGTATCATAACTTCAAAGTTAAAACCCTCCATAAGATTGTAAAAAGTTTCATTACAGTCTATTAATTGGGAGCGGTATAAGAGCATGCATGACTGATGTTCAACAACGCTAGTAAAAATCCAAAACAATTGGAGAGGTGGTTGTATTTTTTGTGCAGGTATTGACCAATTTTTTATATGATACCAAATGGAGGTTTTGTTTCTAATACTTTGTATTAAACTCAGAAAAACCATATGAGAATGAAATTGAATATGTGCCACCTGCTACCTATTCGTAAAAAAACTGAAGGAAAAGTGAAAAGCTACAATATTGCTGATGATAATCATCCCTATTTTTCTTCGTATACTTGGAAAACAATAAAAACTTCCATTAGAGCCATGACATTTCAGACACTTGGTAGTAATATCCTATTTGTTCAAGATTTTCTCAAAATAAAGATCAAATTTATAACAATGATCTTATTGCACACTACGATACAAGTAAAAAAGTGATGCTAGTTGTTCATCTCATAGGTCAACATTCTAGTTGTTAGTAATATGGCCGAAAGCGAATCATGAATGATTATATTTGTAAACAATGGAGTTATGATTAGTAAAAGCATTGTCTATGTATTATGTCAAATGTTATATTCTAATTTCTATGTTGTATGATTAACATAATGATAATCTCATCATATGAATCTTAAATTTTCCCAAGTCAATGAAATAGTAATGTTAAGACTGGTATGCGTACAAACTCAAATAGTTGATACGGAGTTCCTGTACTTGTCTACCCAGAAAACCCACTGTAAGAAGACTACATGAGATGTCATATGAGTGTTATAAGTGTTTCTCATGTCGTCATAACGTAATAACGTCATTTGAATTTATTATCTTTAACTCTACAGTGGTTGAGTCATACACTTTGATGCTAGATCTACTCACGTCGTAACTAAGTGATAAAGTAATCAAGTGTATGACTATATCATGTTGTGAGACGTGCATTATCAAAGACAAGTTTGCCCATCTTGTATGACACATATGATGCCTGTGGGCCCTCTTGATAGAATGAGAATGAGGAAATGCATGTATGCTCAGATAATCGATATGTGTTGTTATTTATTTGATCCATACGTAGTAAAAAAAAAACTAGAGACTGAAGTTAACAAAAATGAGACAGGCAGGCCTGCAGGACTGGAATTCTGAAAAGAAGGAATGTCTGGCTTTTCCTATTCTAGTGCAGGTTCTTGCTCGGTATAAATCGCTTCACTTTGAGTGGGCTTGGCCCGCGCCTTGACAAGGCTGTTGCCCCTCCTTCCACCCGTAGAGAGAGCCRGAGTTAGGCCTTTGTATGACAGATTGATTGATAGTAGGATCAATGATGTTTAGTTTCATTCAGGATCGACATGCCCCAGGTTTGAAGAATTCGATGACAGGCCTTCGCTGCAAAAGATCCCGGAATTGGTCGATTTGGAATCGGCTGGATTGGAGGAATCCAGAGTCACAAGGATCTTCAACGGGTTCGAAAGTCTTTTGATTCCAGGCGGCCGGCCCAATTCTATGGAATTCGCTATAAGTCAAGCTTGTCGACTATCAAAGGAAAGGCCGGTTCGAATTTGTTCTTTCTTTTTTYTATTTGAAAGGCAAAGCCTTAAATTAGTAGGATCTAAAATGAAAGTAACTGGAGAGGGATTTAAGCCAAACCTCCAAAGAAAAGGCCCATAGGCTACATAATCATATAGAAAAGAGCTAAAAGACCTATGATGGTCGGAAGCTATATAAGCCCAAAGCATCATGAAGCAGACGACGCACTGGGGTCGGATATATCAGCTTCGCAAAAGAGAGGCAGGAAACAAGTAGAGGGGGTTGTTTGCAATTTCCTTATTCTTAATTAGTTGATTAGGAAAGATATTAATTAGTTTATTAGGATAAATATGTTTTCCTATTTTTTAGGATTAGGGTATATTTTTCAGGATTAGGGTACGACTTTATTTAAGGGACCGGCCACCCCATTGTTTGCATTCATTCTAGTATTTTGATTCTTGTCGTAGACATTGGAGATTACTGGGTCTCGAATTCCAGAGTTTATTTTAATAAGCATCCGATTAGTGGTACTTTTGGCCGCTAATCTTGATTTGGCCAATTGATTCGTATCAAATTGGTATTAGAGCATCGATCTTGCGCCTGTGATTTTATCCACGCTACCATGACCAAGATTCAGGATCTTGAAGCTGAGTTGACTCAACAGAAGGCTGCCGTCGAACAGTTCCGCACTGAGACGACGGAGCGGTTCGAAAACTTGGAGACCACCGTGGAATCGTTGCGCACTGAAACGGAGAAGCGACATGCGGAGATGATGAAGGTCATGTTGCAACAGTTCTAGGCGTTGACGCCGCCACCACCGCCGACAGCAGCCATGCCATCGCCAATCTTCACCGATTGCACCACATGGCCCATAATGCAGCAATCGAATCCGATTTTTTATGAGAATGGGGCTCCCCTGCCGCCGTGGCATGCAACCAGCAATATGGCCAGGGAACCGAACAGGTCCATCGGCACTCAAGAAATTCCTTTTTCGGAGTCGGGTACGTTTGCTTTTTCTGAGACTAAAAGGCCGTTTGGCAGCGGATATGGAAGGGGCTCAGGACCTTCGGGGGAACGGGGGTGGGTGCTCGGGACGGACTACCATCTTCGTAAGCTGAAGATGTCGTTGTTCGATGGAACTGATGCATATGGGTGGGTGTACCTCATGGAAAGATTTTTCGACGTTCAGGGATTTGTTACTACGGGGGAGAAGTTGAGGGTAGCGGTGTTGGGGTTGGAGGGGCAGGCCCTTGCATGGTACCGATAGAGTGATGATAGGCACCCTTTTCGTCACTGGGAAGGATTAAAAAACTGGTTGTTGGCTCGGTTCCAGTCATCTCAGGAAGGGGACCTATACGAACAATTTTTGGCAATTAAACAGGAAGGGTCGGCACGCGAGTATATAGGAAAATTTGAAACAGTATCGGCACAGCTAAGGGGTATTCCTGAGAAAATTATGCAGGGTACATTCCAAAAAGGGTTGAAACCGGAGCTACGAACTTCCGTGAGGTTGCTTCAACCAGTAGACTTAGATCAGGAGATCCAACTAGCTCTTATGGTAGATGAAAATAAAACTATCAGCACTGGGAACGCGGAAAAAGGGGAAAACAAAAGTCAGCCGGTGCGGACCGGAGTGGGGGGGCTCACGGCCGATGGTCGCCCCACCAATGGGAACCCAACGACCAACAACAGGGGATAACGAACAGCCGTTTAAACGGATGACAGACTCGAAACTGGCGGATAAACGGGCCAAGGGCTTATGTTTTCAATGCGACGGGAAGTTCACACCCGGACACCGGAAACTCACGCACACTTGGATGCGATGGAGGTGTCAGTACACTCAGGTGGTGGAGCAGTTCCCTGGCTTTCACCTCGAGGACAAGGTGAATCTTTGGGGCGGGGGTAATGATACGTCTCAGCCCGACCCGCACTGGGGTCGGATATATCAGCTTCGCAAAAGAGAGGCAGGAAACAAGTAGAGGGGGTTGTTCGCAATTTCCTTATTCTTAATTAGTTGATTAGGAAAGATATTAATTAGTTTATTAGGATAAATATGTTTTCCTATTTTTTAGGATTAGGGTATATTNGATATTAATTAGTTTATTAGGATAAATATGTTTTCCTATTTTTTAGGATTAGGGTATATTTTTTAGGATTAGGGTACGGCTTTATTTAAGGGACCAGCCACCCCATTGTTTGCTTTCATTCTAGTATTTTGATTCTTGTCGTAGACATTGGAGATTACTGGGTCTCGAATTCCAGGATTTATTTTAATAAGCATCCGATTAGTGGTACTTTTGGCCGCTAATCTTGATTTTGCCAATTGATTCGTATCAGATTTAAGCCAAACCTCCAAAGAAAAGGCCCATAGGCTACATAATCATAAAGAAAAGAGCTAAAAGACCTATGATGGTCGGAAGCTATATAAGCCCAAAGCATCAAGAAGCAGACGACTTTTGCAACAAGTGGGAAACTTCTCTTCTAAGTAGAACACCATGCTATCCCTACGAGCGTGAGCAAAGGATGCCAGCAATCTACTACTTTGTTCCTTCTTTCAAGATGCGGGAAAGATTACATGAAGGAGATAAGAGAGACTTGCATGATCGTGTCAAATATACCAAGTTCCAAGGGAAGCTCCCTGTATGAATGAAATGCAACAAGACTTGAGCGTCAAGTTCCATACATGAGAGGGGTATGCCTAATTGGGAGGCAAGATCCAAGCCAGTGATTAATGCCCGAGCTTCTGCTTGCATGTTCTTACCCGAAGAAAGAAAGAAAACCTGCAATTTTTGGGAAACCGAAAACCCAACGACTTGATATGCTAATCAATGGATATTGCCTTATGCATAAGTCACCAAAAAAACCTGCAATTTTTGGGTGTACCCATTTATTCCAAACATATTTCCACCAGTAGACAGAAGGATGAGAAGCCCGCGTCGATTCCCAAGCACTAGAAACAGAGAAGGCATCGCCAGTGAAGTTTGCCCTCAGAGAGACAGCCCTGTATAGATTGAATGTATTGAATGGAGATAGGATCCAAAATACAAGACTCAGAATTTCATCCATCAAATTGGGGTCATTGAAGGCCTCTTTGACAGAGATATGAGGCCGAGGAGTACCTACAGAGGAGAATTCAACCACATATCATGCCAAAAAATGTTACCTCTACCGATAGACCACAAGGCGTGGGATAAAAYAAAGTCCAGCTGGGCATGGATGGCTCTCCAACAATAAGAAGCACTCC